AAGATGGAATGCCTCATTTCCAGTAAAAAGGGCCTCCGGCCACCTGCACTCACCAAGCGAAACACAAAGGTAAACCTCTACTTTACGCTGGTATTCTGTGAGGTCGTGGTACCACCCCGGTTCGAGCCGGCCCATCCGTGCGACAGCAAAAGTTGCCGCGTGGCTCTACCACTGTCTTTGACTGACACCTTTCTTAAATAACGATTAAGTTTTATTCAAGCACTGACTTAAAAAAAAATGGATGTAAATACCCAATGCATTGCATAATTGCAAATGCATTTTGCTGGATTTTTATCTCAGTAACTAATTAATTAATTAACTGACAACCGATGGGAGGCAGTCTTTTACCGGTAAGCGAAGTGTAAGGCGACCCCCCACTAGATGGAGTGACGACTTGGTAAAAGATGCAGGAAGTCAATGGATGCAGGTGGCTCTGGACCGTGCTTTGTAGCATTGCTTGGGGGAGGTCTATGCGCAGCAGTGGACCTGTAATGGGCTGGACCACGACGAGAAGGAGCGTCAAAGGTGTCGTCTGTAATTACGTTCATCTACCTATCGAGCATAATTTATCTATAAATAATGGAGTACACTCAATAGGAATAAGTACAATTTTGATACATAACGTAGTAAGTTACACGGCGGCCGAGAATAAGACTGAAACGGCCACCCTGGTGGTTTGCGTTTTCTCTAAAAATGACACATTGAAAAACTAAACAAAAAAGTCTTCTAAAAGAAATTATTGTATTAGAACACACCTCAAATGCCAACTAGGGGTGGTTGAGCCAGGCAAATGCTTAATATAAGTTAACATTGACAAGTTTAGACAGTGGTGGTTTTAACAGTGGTAGAGCCACGCGGCAGCTCTTGCTGTCGCACGGATGGGCCGGCTCGAACCGGGGTAGTACCACGACCTCACAGAAAACCAGCGTGAAGTAGAGGTTTACCTCTGCGTTTCGCTTGGTGAGTGCAGGTGGCCGGAGGCCTTTTTTACTGGAAATGAAGCATTCCATCTTAGTCCTCACGGGTGACAACGCATCTACATTTTGATTTGTAACAGAGGATAGATGTAGATGTCTATGGGCCGCAGCAACCACTTACCATCAGGTGGACTGTGTGCTCGTTTGTCACCCTTATCCTATAAAAAAAAAAGTAAGTCTTTCATAGCTTTAGTCGATTTTTCACACAATCTATAAAAAGTTGATCCATTGAGTGGAGAAAAGTTTAGTCACTACGGTACTTTGGTAAGCAGTATTTATTATGTTATTTTTTTATTACGGTGCGTTTATATTATATAACATAACATATTACATAACATGTTTCAGTAATGTTGACTGATTCTTATAAAATGTGTTATATAACGTTACACAAATGTTATATAACTCGAGAGTATTTTTCTCTAGTCAGTAAACTATGTTTGTTTGGGACGAACCCAGTATCTAAGTTTTTTTCTTTTGTTATTTAAAAGTACAAGAGTTGCTGCAGCAGCTAGCAAAACGTCTTCGTGTGTCGACATTGTGAAAATCACTGCAGAACGACAAACGACAATGTCATATAACATTGTTATTCTAATGTGTACATTATTTGTATATGCTGAAATGTTGAAAAACAATATAACATAACGTGGACGTGTTATAAAACAAAAATTACACAACATGTTACTTAATCCGTACGCACCCTTCTATAAAAATACTTATTGAAAGTCATTTATGCTTTTACCACGGGTTTGGAAAAAACCTCTGTTCAGTAAAAAACCCAACGGGACCATATCTTTTTATACATAAATAGACAATATAACATGTACAGATATGAAAACATTTTGAAACAGCATGGTAGCGAACAGTATGTGGTAGCGATCACCTCATTTCCAGGGGTTATTATAAATCATGTGAAAACAGAAAGTATGTGGATATAACCAGGCCTGTCTCACTCCGCGCTTTAGGCACGAAATTATACTTACGCTCCGCGGCCCCATACAAGGGGCTAGTTGCGTGAGGTTGTCAGGCGCGCGACTTACTTCCTCTTGAAGTATTTAGGCACTTTTGATATTTATTTTTGAGTTTTTGTTCAAGTATGGCCGCTCAAAAAGCCAAAAGGTACTGCATAGCATACGGGTGCTTAAATAACAATAGGAATGTTGACTTTTCATTCTTTACTGTTCCTAAGGCCTGAATTCCTCCTACGCTGACGTCGGTCGCGCGTACTAATGTACATTGTGTTCTATATTGCCCCACACTACGACGCTGACGACAGCGGCGCGTAGTTTGCTACCGACGTCAGCGTAGGAGGAATTCAAGCCTAATGATACCGAAAATAAGATATTATTATTTATAGGTAGGTCTAGGTAATTAGGTATCTAGTTACTGACACCATAGTTACAGTTTTATTATTTGATCGGCGACTCGACCACAGCTTCGCAGTTTTCGACTTTTTCGCGTATAATGTTCATGACCTTAAACTTCATTCAGTTTAAGTAGACCTCCTAGTACCAGTGACTGTCTACTAATACAAGATCAGCATATACTGGTTATAAGTTTAACACTTGGTCGATAAAAGAAAGAAGCCTTCGCATGTCACATGTTTTTAAATAGCAAAAATTATGAAACAGATAAGTAACGGCTCCGTGGCGCAGTGGCTTAGCAAGGAGTTGCTGCGCTAAGGGCCGCGGGTTCGAATCCCGCATGGAACAAGTATTTGAATGGCCTACAAATTTGAAAATTGTTCTGAATCTGAATGTTTGTCCTTGTAAACTGTCCCTGGATACAGGAGAAAATCCTAGTGTGGAGGTAACGTTTTTTAAAAAGAAAGGAAGAGAGATAAGTAATGAAATTAAACATTTTGTACAACCGACTGCAATATTAATACGCATTATTAAGGATAACTTCAAAACTACTGGTCAAATTAAGTTATTTTAAGTTATAAGCTGTAACTGTGCACTAGAACAGAATAAAAATAATTAAGAATTAAAAGTTTTGTACAACCGTCTTCAATATAAATTATTAAGAATAACTCAAAAACTATTGGTCAGACCTTGATCAAATTTATATGAGGCCACGTGAGAAGCACCAGCTTTCATAATCATCAAAATCGGTTCACCTAGGAAAAAGTTCTGAGGTAACACACATAAAAAATACATTTCAATTGAGTACCTCCTCCTTTTTTTGAAGGTGGTTAAAAATGGTAAGTAGGTAAATTATCTGAGTTTAAAAGACGTTCACTTTGTTATAAATTAAATTTTTCTCGATGTTGCATATTAACCTTCCTCACATTGAACAATAATGTTCCCTTGGTAACTCTGTGTATTTTGCTACCAACTAATATCAAAGCATTCAATTTGTTTTCTCACAACACCTAACCCTGCAGTAGGTGCCGCCTTAACAAAGGCGTGTAACGGGCTAAGTGATTCAGACTAGCACGTGGCCGTAAGGTGCATTTTGATTTAATACACTCGCCGCAATAATTTTTATTTATATTAGGTAGTCAGGTTTAATCTGTAGGCTAAATTGACCAAGGTTGTGTCCGGGGCGTGCAAAGTATTATGAACAATAGCGACATAACTAGGTTTAAACTCGCCAAGTTTCCTATCAGAGTGTGATCCTTCCTTTCTTGTACTATTATTTATTCCATGGTATAACTAAGGTTTAGAGTATACGTTTTTGCCTTTATCTAATCAGAATAGTAGCATTAATAATATTTTACCCAAGTTGAGTTACACATAATTATCCTTAGTTAAAAAAGGGTGATAATTATGTATGTAATAATTATAAATTAAAATTTGAAAACATAAAATATTTTGCCATCTGTCCATCTGCCCATAAAATTCCTTGTTTGACATAGCGCTATCTTGTTATAGGGAGAATTCGCCATAATCGCCATGTTTGGCAAGGAGATTGGCGGTTACAGAACAAAATGTCTTGCATATCTGACATTGCTCCCAGTTTTACGAGTAGCACAATAAATTTTTTTTATAAGTAAGGGTGACAAATGTATACACAGTCCACCTGATGGTAAGTGGATGCTGTGACCCATAGAACATCTATCCTCGAACACAACTCAAAATTCAGATGCATTGTCACCCACGAGGAGTAAGATGGGATGCGGAATGCCTTGTTTCAAGTAAAAAGGGTCTCTGGTTGTATACACTCATCATACAAAACACAGCAGCATTAAACTGCTATTATGCTGGTATTCTGTGAGTTCCCCGGTCGAGCCGACCCTTTGTGCCACAACTATACTACTAATGTAGCTGCAGCATGGCTCTACCATGTAAAAAATAATACAAAAACAGTGTAGATTAACAATTCATAATGTCACTAAGTACTTCAATAAATTAATAATTATCATAAATATAAAAAACTAATTCATTATAATACATATAGCCTAAATTGTCTAAATCTGTTAAAAATCAGTAATTATAGGTATTTTAAAATTTTTGTTTTTGTCATTATAAACTATATACAGTAGGACGCCAATTATCCGAACGCCGATTAACGGAATCGCCAATTATCCGAATCGGTCCTAAGCGTAACATAAAAAATTAAAACCAAGTAATGTAAGTAATGTTACTTACTTACAGTACTTGGTTAACTGATATTAAAAATAACAGTGAAAAAATTTTAAGTTTTGTGACTGCGTTGGAAACTGGTAATGGATGTTCGTTGCGAAAAGTAATGTAAAAAGCAAAGGATGAACAGCTTGAGAATGCTGTTTTTACGTGGTTTCTGCAGCAATGGTGTATTGGACAACCAATTTCAGGATCAATTTTATGTGGAAAGGCACTAATGTTCAGTGAAAAAAATGGGTGTAGCTGGTTTTACACTTTATAAAGTGTAAACCCATTTATAAACCTAATAAAGTTTATTCTATGTGTGACAGTTCATTTTTCTATATTACATACCAGTCTATGTCTAATTATCCAAATCGACCCCAATCCCAATTAATTCGTATAATCGGCGTTCTAATGTACATGTGTTATTATGTATATTTATATGTATTTTTCTCTATTATCTTATACTGCCAGCACCATATAGAATCTCTCTTTCAAACTGTTCTGCTTTGAGAGTGCCGTCTATGCTGACACAGTTCTCATTAAATACACTATATGCAGAAACTTCCCCTTTCTTCTTAGGTCTTGTTCTAGTATTTAAATAAATGCCAACTAACACTGATATTACAAAATATACAGCACCAAATTGTAGCTTTAGAAACAATATGTATAAGGTAAGCCAGATAATAAAGTAAATTGTCCATTTTATGATGAAATATCTCCATGATTCTTGTGCTGCTTCTTCAAATGATTCCAACTCACTAGCTTCTGAAGTTACATCACCATTTTCTTCAGGTTGAATAAGTGGTCTGCTGGTGGTAGGTACTTCTTCATTTTCAATCTGTAAGTAAAACAGAATACATCATTATGAACTATATTGATAAAGTTAAAAGTTAATTACAATAAAGACAATAAATGTGTAACTATAAAATTCCTACTAAAAACTATAGATTTCTATACATTAATACTTTAGCATTTAATTCATCTTGTAAAGATATGGATCCAATATTTAAGGTTGCCATTTCTAAAGCTGAACCCCTTACTGCTCAGGTTCTTCCACAAATGCAGAACTGGTAAGCAGTTTTTGAAAGATTTGCCTGTATTCACTATGCTGGGCAGGCTGGTTGGTGAGCACAAAGCCCTTAACTGGTAATGCGGCTTCCATTACTGGTCTGCAAACTATAGATTCAACATTTTCCAAAAGATGCTCCAATGTTAGTTTCACCAGAGTATAGAAAATAGATTTAGTAGGGTGGCTAGTGTTCAGGTGTGGTTGGCTTTTGGGGTTTATTCTCCACTACACTCTTTACCTAATTTGATGTTATATAAATATATGTTATTTCAAATACAAACATACCAAAACAAGTTCATCTTCTTTCTTTTCTTTGTCCATTTCAGTAAAAAAATTTGGGACAAAAAAGTCTACAATTTTCTTCTTAGACTTCTCTAATTTAGCCTTAGCATTCTCAATTAGTTCTTTACGTCGTCGAAGAGCGCGATATTCTTTCAACTTCGCCTCCATTCGTATTGTATGATGCTATAAAATCAGCTGTAAAAATGTTTACATACCCTATTGATATACCCTAATAAAACACTGGGGAATAATATATATTATAGGTTTTTAATTATGTATTCGTCACTTAATTCAGTACGGTCCTTGGTTATAAAAAGATACTCTGTGAGTACGGGTATCAAATTATTAAATAACTTTACTTTAAGGTGGGTAGAGATAATATTAGGTGTACCATGTTGGCAAAAAAGTCTCAAAACAAATTTTGCAGCGCTGAAGTGGAGAGGAGACTGCTTGACCTATCACTGTCATCTGTTTCCGTATATACACTCTTATCTATGGTCATCTGTCAACTTTGTGAACTTTCTTTCATCCATACAACTATACAACTTTATAATTTGTGCTTTCCATAAAAGAAGAAGACGAATTTGTACTTTCATGTCTGTGGCTTTCACGGGCTTTCACCTTTCATCTGTCACTACCAGTCACTAAAGTGTCAAGTGCATAGAGCACTTTATTATTTTTGACAACTTTCGATGCAAAAATACGTTCCTCAACTGGTGCCTACCTAATCTATGACTGGTACATTTATACAAAATAATAAAATTTACAAGTTTAATATTAAGGTTTTAACTTTAATAACAACCATTAATAATAAAGGGATGTTTGGATTTAAACAAGAAAGCATTTTACTTATGGGGTTCCGATCAGGATCATATAATTTTAAGCTTATTTGATTATTTAATATTATCGATAGAAAATATTACAAGAATGATATATTATGAAGCAATAAATTATTAAGCATTGGAATAACAGCAGTTAATTTTGAATTAGCAAAACCAAAACAACATTAGGGACGAAGACGCATTTTTAACCTATGGAACCGAAATGGATCAATATTTCCATATTGCGTTAGCATTATAAAAACAATGCTACGTGAGTAAGTTTAGAGCATGGTATGACTTAAAAGTTACTTTTTAAAAATTAATGAACCATCAGATAGATATGGGAGCCTATGGGGAGAATTCCAGTGTGCAAAACAGTGGCAATTATATTACTATAATTCCCGTTGATTATTCACGTCGCGGTTATCCTTTACAAGCCGAATATCAATACAAGTGAGTTTAAAAAAACATATATGTTGTGTATTTTTAGCTAAAATATTATGTAGCAACTTTTAAATGCATTAGTGTAAACACATATAAAATATTTAAATTATTTAAAAATTAAACAAAATAACATATTGATATTATATTTTATTTTTAATTTATTAAATGTAAACAGATTCATTTAAACAGATTAAAAATGTGAAGAATACATATTTAGGCGCAGATTATAGGCAGGAATGATAAAGGTAGATATTAGTATACATACATACATATACATTCACGCCTATCACACAAAGGGGTAGGCAGAGACTATGGACTTCCATTTGGCACGACCTACGCATACACGCTCGTCGGTTAAAGATACTCTTGATTTGGCCCGCTTTCAATATATCGCCAATTTGTTCGATAAACTTTCGCCTAAGGCGACCCTTCCCGACTCTGCCGTTCACCTCTGCAACATAAATTTGCTTTGTCATTCATTCATTCTTTCTACATGACTAAACCACCGAAGCATTCCTTTCTTAATCCTGGTCACAACATCATCTTGCAAACCACACTCTTCTCTTATCAAACAATTTCTTACTCTGTCATTCAGATTCATCCCTAACATACTCCTTAATGATCGCATTTCTACAGTATTTATTCTACTCTCGTGCTTCTTCGGCCACACCCAACTTTCACTACCATACATTAAAGTAGGTACTAACATAGCATTGTGAATTGCCATACGTGCCTTTTTGGACTCATTCTGACTTTTCACAATAGGGTGTAGAGCCCCATTCACTCTATTTCCTGCATTCACACGTCGTTCTATATCCTTATCATATCTACCATCCCTGCTAAACACACATCCCAAATACACAAACACATATATTTCCTCTCCCAACTCCCCTTCTATTCTTATTTCACATATCGTTTTATTTTCTTCTCTTTCAATAACCATAACTTTCGTCTTACTTGCGTTCACTTTCATTCCCTTTTCTTTTAATGTCCTATTCATTAATGTAACCATCATTTGCAACTCGGCCGCCGACGACGCAAGTATGACTTCATCATCGGCGTACAAAAGGCATTTGACGGTTAACTCACCCATTCTTAACCCTTATTCTTCTACTTTCAAATTTTCCAAACAACTCTCCATAAATAGGTTGAACAGCCACGGGGAAGCCACAAAGCCCTGTCTGACACCTTTATGTATGCCAAACCAGTCCGAGTAGGCCCCGTTGATCCTGACACAAGCACTAGAGTCCCTATACAGAGATTTCAATGCCTGTATCAACCCAGCGCTCAACCCAAATGAGTTCAGTGTTTGCCATAACACATCCTTATCCACTCTGTCATAAGCCTTCTCCAAGTCCATGAACGCACAATAAACTTTTTGGTTTTTGGCCAAAAACTTCTCCGCGATCATGCGCATGGAAAAGACCTGATCCGTACATCCCATTCCCTTTCTAAATCCCGCTTGCACATCCCAAATTTTTCCATCAGTTTCTTTCATAACTCTTTCAATTAGTACCTTAGCATACAGTTTTCCCACAATGCTAAGAAGGCTGATACCACGGTAGTTTTTGCAGTCCTGTTGTGATCCTTTTCCTTTATATATTGGGACTATCACGGCTTTACACCAGTCTCCCGGTACCCGCTTAAGTTCCCAACATAAATTAAACAAGGTGTACAGCAGGTCTGCCACCACTCCTTCTCCAGCCCTTAGCATTTCGAGAGATACTCTATCATATCCGGCTGCTTTCCCTCATTTCATACTTTTCATTGCTTTCATTATTTCATCTATACTTATATCTTCTTATACGTGGTAGAGCCATGTTGCAGCTGTATTGGTAGTATAGTTGTAGCACGAATGGGACGGCTCGACCGGGGAAGGACCACGCTCTCACAGAATACCAGCGTAAAATAGCAGCTTATCACTGCTGTGTTTCGTATGGTGAGTGTAGAGAACCGGAGACCCGTTTTACTGAAAAAGAGGCATTCCATCTTAGTCCTCACGGGTGACAACGCATCTACATTTTGATTCGCAAACGAGGATAGGCGTAGATGTCTATGGGCCACAGTAACCACTTACCATCAGGTGGACTGTGTGCTCGTTTGCCACACTATCCTATAAAAAAAACAACTTATATCTCTCTCTATTTCCTCTTCTTTCGGAATTTCTACTTAATTTAATTTAAACGTCTCATCACTCATAAGCACGCTTTCAAAGTATTCCTTCCATCTTCTTAAACTCCATTAATACAGCCATTCTGGTCTCGTATAGCATTCATTCTAGGCTGTTTTGAATGTCCCCTGGCAGTTCTTACGAGTTTCCAGAACATTTTAATGTTTGCCTGGAAGTTATCCGATATTCTTCTATCATTCTTATCCGTTCTTTCTTGCTTTTTCCTTTCAACTACTTCTTTTACTCTCTTATTTAGATGTCTAAAGACTGCCTTTTTCCTTTCAATATCATCATTCATACTGCTAGAATTACTAGCCTTGGTTGCTAGTAAATCTAGCCATGCTTTCTTCTTTGCTTCAACTTCCATCCATACCTCATCATCCCACCATAACGTGTTATTTTTCCTTTCATTCGTTCTCTTAATTACACCACACACTTCGGTAGCTGTATCCACTAAGCCTTTCTTGACATTATATCACACAGTCTCCAAGTCTAAATCATTCATTTCACACACATACATATTTCATACACAATTCAGCCATACCACTTATATTTTCTCTCAATCTACATTTAAACTTCTCTTTAACACCTTCATCTTGTAAACTCTCTGTTCTTATATGCTGTAACGCTGTGGTAGACACAGATGTCCGATGCCTCCAACGTCTGAAAAGACCATTAATTCGGCATAAGACCAAGTAATGGTCCGTCCCTACGCTAGAGCCCCGGTAAACCCTTGTATCTACCACCGCGCTCCTCATTTTTTCATCAACAATTATGAAATCAATCATACTTCTATCATCACCTCTTTCCCATGTATACGTGTGAATCTTCTTATAACGAAAGAAAGTGTTCTTCACAAAAATATTCTTTTCCACACATACGGTGAGGAGGCTTTTACCATTCTCATTTATACTTTCATCACGAAACGTTCCCAATATTCTTTTATAACCAAGCCTCCTCACCCCAACCCTTCCATTAAAATCTCCTAATATCACAATATTTTCATTAACCTTGCATTTCATTAGCACCATCCTTACCAACTCCCAAAACTGCTCTCGGATATAAGTGGGCTTAGACATGTCTGGGGCGTAGACCCCTAAAACAAACAACTTCTTTAAGCCCACTTTCATTCGTATCCATAGCAGTCTCGGGCTTACACATTCACACAATGACTCATTCTTTCTGAAAGGATGATACCGACTTCCTGGCATGCCCGCTCGGTCTCGTCTACACCAGACCAGTACGCGCTATACATGCCATGTGTAGTGGCATCCTTTCCCTTCCGTTTCGTTTCATTTACACATAACACGTCTATTCCTCTATCATACATCATATCGCAAACTTCATCTTATCATTCATTCCTCCACATACATTCAATGTAGCCAGACGGGCTTCCGCAATCCAATTTTCGCCCCTCCGGAGGACAGAACGTGACGGGTGGCGAACCTCGTCGCCGGTTTTCCTCCCGGAGATTCTTCGCACCCCTGCCCCATTAAAGGGGCGCCGGGAACTCGGGGCCATTTCGTAAATTTTTTGCCTCATGGTGCGAAAGTAGGGGGTGGTATTTTTTACGCCGCTACCATACGGCGAGGAGCCGAGTCTGTTCTTTCGACTTTGTCGCTTATTTAGCACCACCCGGGGGACACGTGTAGGGTGGGCCTAGTATTAGGTGATCAAAGCCTACGGACGCGAGCGACTCATCCCTCATTAGTATATTTTTTCAAATAAGGCGGCTATGTACCAAATAAAATTTTTCTTTTAATAAAAATGTTTATACTAAAATGAAATATCTAGTTTGAATACTTCAAATTTAATTTTCGTATACATACTTATACATTTGTTTTGTGGAAGATGACAATTCCATACATTTAAGAAATTTTATGCGTTAATTGCATTTTTTAAGTACGTTGTGTATGCCGCCCTAAAAGTACCTAGTTTTATTACAATGTACAAACGCAGTACTTTAATGTATCGTGGTAGTTAATGTCGTTATAGGTACCCAGTTGTTGCCAAAACCCTGTGACAGTACATCACTGTAACCTTTTGATTTATTAAAAGATTACAGCCATGCTGCACAGCTATATTATGGTTGTAGCACGAATGGGTCGGCTCGACCGGGGAAGGACCACGCTCTCACAGAAAACCAGCGTAAAATAGCAGCTTAACGCTGCTGTGTTTCGTATGGTGAGTGCAGAGAACCGGAGACCCTTTTTACTGGTAAAGAGGCATTCCATCTTAGTCCTCACGGGTGACAACGCATCTGCATCTTGAGTCTTTATTGAGGATAGATGTAGATGTCTATGGGTCACAGTAACCACTTACCATCAGGTGGACTGTGTGCTCGTTTGTCACCCGATCCTATAAAAAAAAAAAGAATTTGATTTATGTAATCCTCATTATTGGTAGGCGGCTTGATGATAATCTACCAAAAACGTTTCCATTCCTCGTGGCCGATCCAATAATTTTAGGTCTGTATCTGGGGCTAAGCATTCGTTGTAACTCACACCACGCAGACAAGTGGAGTCCAACATCACCACAAAATACATAATAGTGCCAACACACCAACAGAGCAGTACGGCTTGCTAATTGCTATAAGACCCTTTCCAAAATAAAAAAGCCTGTGCCAAGCAGTGAGACGTATATATGCTGCAACTTTACTTTTTACCATAATTTGTTGGTTAACAATGTTCAAATCACGTTCAAATTAGGATATTTCTCTTACTGACTCTTATGACACCTATGGAGTGTAATGACTCTTATTCAAAAAGTTCAACGAAAAAAGTTCAACGGTTAGCGTGCTGGTCTGCCGTATAATTGTTTTTTTTTATTATTTAACGTCACTTCACGTTAAATTCAGCTTAACACGACGAGCCATCATTATAATAAATAATATTGTTTTTTTTTAAAATATTATTCCACAGTGAATTTAGATCCCGCGAAGAATACTATAGCGTCCAAAGTCAGAAGCTTCAAGCTGAGGTGAACGCGCATCTGTACTCTGTGTCGCAGCGCCTCCCACATTTGTCGTACAGCCCGTTAGGACGTCATAATGAATGGGACAAACATGATCCCCACAAACCCCTACAGCCGGACTCCAAAGAGAGTAACAGTTCAGATTCCCTGGAGAAAAGTGTTATGGGTAAGGTGTTTTAGTCGATGGGCGAAATCCCTTAATTTTTAAACTAAGTTTTTCATTTAGATTCACAATATCTGGATTTACTAATTGTACGTAGTTATACTGAATGGCAATAACCGTGTAGTGGTGTTGTAAGAATATCCACTACCCCATTTTGTCCCGTAAGACAAGAAAGGAGATTGGCAGCAGCGTCTTTCTCAACAAAATAAAAAAAATATTTTCATACATCTATATAAATAGAATGATAGAGGTTTGCAGTTGTGCGCTCATTATGGAAAATCTACTGGATAGATTTCAATTAGGTTTTCCGAATTTTATTTCTTAGAGACTTGGTCTTTATCTAAAAAAATATTGCGATATCTTCATTTAATATAAAGTTACTGAAGTTTTAAGAAACAACGAGTTACGTGTTCAGTGATGTGTGTTTTCTTGCCGAGGAGAAGTGGGGTTGGGGCACAAAGGCCCATATCCAGCAGTACATTTTTACGGACTGGTAATTATGAAGAAGAAGAAATATTGTGAAATAATAATCACCAATCATTCTTTCCAAATAGCTGAGTTTATCAAATCTTGAATTCAACTAATTTTACGTACCTACTTTAGCACCTTATTATTTACCTTTTACTATTTAATGTGTAAATATAAGAAATTTTAATTTTATACCATTACAATCCATCAAAAGTCTACAGTTGACATAGGCCTCTTCCAATTATTTAATCTGTTTCCATATATTGCTTCATAGGGATAGATATTTGCCATAGAAGCCACGTTTGGCAAGCAGGTTGGCAATTGCAGTTTGGTAGAATATAGTAGTAATAAATTATTTCTTTACCCAGGGATAAAAAAGGGTAATTGTTGATGAAATATTAACGACATTCGACGCGACGACTCGATGCAGTGAGATTGTCGATTCGACATTCGACAATTTTCCCGCACGCGCTACTTACTTATGTGTATGGTAACACTGATTGCCTGTAAAAAATGGAAGTAACAGCATAACATATATATCCTACTGCTGAGCATAGGTCATCTCTTGTTTTTTTATTTTAATGGAGGGAATAATATGCCACGATGATCAAATGCGTGATAGCGTACTTCACGTCATCAAAATATTTTGAATTTCCTATATGCTGGTATGTTCGAATGCGAACATATTCGCGACATTTTTTATACCTGTCGAGCACGTGGTAAATTAGCACTTAAATGCGGTTAACAATCAGTGGTGTCGGAGGAAATCAAACTTGGGTTATTATTGTTAGCTCACGATGAAATAACGCGAGCTCGCAGCCTCTGAGCGTCCAGTACAAGCACAAAATACCAGGCTGATCTAAAAGTAATGATAATCGGTTACTTCAGGTCCGCATAAAAATCCAAAAAAAAATATTTTTTGCTTGCTTATATACTCACTACGTCAGCCTAAAAAAATCATATAAATAGATCACGATTTCCGGGAGATACATTCATTTGAATACGAACTGTCAAAGAGATAACATCAACATGGAGAAAAACGAAATTAGAGCTGTCATCAAGTACCTCTGTTTGAAAAAAATATCTTCAAAAGACATACACAGTGACTTAGTGGAAACATTGGGGGACTCTGCCCCTCCATATTCTACAGTTGCACGCTGGGCTAAGGAGTTTAAACTAGGCAGAACATCCACTGAAGATGAAAATCGCGAAGGACGCCCATCCACGTCCCTCACTGAAGACAACGTGAAAAAAGTCGAAGATGTTGTGTTGGCAGATCGAAGAGTGACCATCAGGCATGTAGCTGAGGTCACAGGGATCTCATATGGCAGCGTTCAAAGAATCCTTGCGAACGAGTTGCATATGAAAAAGGTCTCTGCGCGTTGGGTACCCAGAGTATTAACCGACGAGCAAAAGAAAAATCGAGTTGACATTTCGAGGGTCAATCTCGAAAAGTTCCAAGCAGATCAAGAAAATTTTTTGTTCCGTTTTGTGACTATGGACGAGACCTGGATCCACCATTTTGATCCTGAAACGAAACAACAATCGATGACTTGGAAGCGAGCCTCCTCACCGACGCCAAAGAAATTCAAAGTTTCAAGTTCGGCGGGAAAGGTTATGGCATCTGTTTTTTGGGACGCTCAAGGCATAATTATGGTGGAATATTTGGAAAAGGGAGCCACTATTACGGGTTCTTACTACGCAGACCAAATAAGAAGATTACGGGTGGCCATTAAGGAAAAAAGACGCGGCAAACTGCGAGCTGGTGTGCTGTTTCACCAAGACAACGCACCGGCTCACAAAGCCGCAGTTGCGATGGCTGCCATTCAAGAAACGGGATTCGAACTGCTCGAACACCCTCCTTATTCGCCAGATCTAGCTCCTAGTGATTTCTACCTCTTTCCTCGGCTCAAGGAACGCCTCCGAGGCAAGAAATTCGAAGACGATAGCGAAGTAATGGCCGCTGTTGAAGCGTTTTGGGAGGGTCAAGACAAATAATTTTTTTCAAAGGGAATCCTGGGTTTAGAAAAAAGATGGACTAAATGTATTGATTTGTTAGGAGACTATGTAGAAAAATAAATTATTATTTAACTTTAATTACCGTGTTTTATTTTCATTATCATTAGTTTTGGATCACCCTATACCCGCAGAATGCGGGCTGTCGCTCTGCGAGCGCTAACCATCCGATACGGACAACTTCAAATTCGAATGAATAGCCTGAGTAAACAGGCATAATTCGAGGTTGTTTTTTTTGTTTGGCTCTCTACCATTTCCTCCTTACCAATTAAAAGCTATTTCATAAACTGAATAAGAAAGTATACACTGTGTCCGTATGTTTTTCTTTTTTTAGTATTAGTTATCAAATTTGAACACTAGGCCTCTGTTGACAGCGGTCTAAATAGGCAATTTTGAACATTTTGTATAGTGCTTATTAAGATAACGTATCATCAAAAAGAAAAACATAGGGACATAGAAGATGTTGATATACAGGTTCTCCCAGTAATGGCGGATAATCAGGTACGTACGTGTTTGGGCGGGGGTGAGGTGGCCTCGGTTCCCTAAAAAAAATTCTATCCCGAACGGTTTGCGGTCTACGCCATGTTTAATAAAATTCCGAAAATTCGTACTTCTGATCACATTTGTGGTCATCACGTCGGCCGTCGGAACCAAGGCCACCTCACCCCCGCCCGAATAGAATGGAATAGAATGATTTTTATTCAATATGGATTATTACATAATACTTATTGAAAGTCATTATTTTATTTACCATTGGTTCGGAAAATATCTCTGTCCTGGGAAGAACCAGCAAGAAACCCAGCGGGACTTTTTTTTAAACATAATTTCACTTAACAATAATTTTGTTTATACAATTTTAAATGAATTTTCATAGAACCAGCATGAGCATACGTGCCAGATTATCCACCATTACTGGGACAGCCTGTATATTTTACTGTAAAAACTCAGTGCTATAAGGTCATAAAAACAGACGAGAGCGTTTGTTTGAAGAAAAGACCACCCCACACGGAAATTATTAACCAGAATCTAGGTAGGAGCAATCCGAGTAACAGTAATCTATGATGTACCATAATTACTGTAATTGTCATTGCTCATTGTAGATCGTATCTTAAAAATTTGACTATCAGCACTTCATGATCGTTTCAGGTTCTAATCTTAGCAGTTGCTCCAATCAAACCGGATCGAGCAGTATAGTTGCTGGATCTTTTAGTACGACAGAACCAATCACAAGTGGTGGTAGCTCTTCTAGCGCTATATCACCACCACTACCAGGTAAGGCTGGCTGTTACTGATATATTTTAAAAGTTATTTCTTTGTTCAGTAAGCTACCCCTGGTAGATTGCGAGAGAATGACGTTTTCATATATACAAAAGAAAACAATACAATAAAAAAAACTGTATGACGGAATGCGTATCGCGTTAAAATATTGTTAATTGCGGATAAATCTGGCCTTATAATCGTCCTCCGATAAGCGGTCCTTATCGGAGCCGTATAGCCTAGAAGACTTATTCACGAGGATGATAAGAAGTTTTTTTTTAAAGACACAGGCTAACAACGGGGTTGACTGTCAGAAAATGCCACATCGCATTAAGTCACCTATGTATCCTTAGCTTTAATCTGTTACGTTTAAGTTTTAAAATAAATAAATAAATTAATAACAATGGAGTTTTGATAGGCTGTAACGAAGTAATGAACCTTATTATGGTCCTTTACGCGCAGGGTCTTCTGGCAGCACAGCTTCATCTTCGACAGTCTCGTCAAGTCCAGTAACATGTGTGTATTTAATGTCTCGCACCGCAATAATGGTCGAGATGAGTTCAGAGGAAGTCCCTGCGAATGTTACTGCGGCCAGGTTTTTGAACGCAGTGTTAGCAGCTGAGGATATGGGGCTGGTACAGCCAAACACTAGGAGCCTGGCCGCCAACGTATTCGCGTTGTGGATGTGTAGCCCACTGTTAGGTGAGTCTTATATCTTTGATCGTGGTTATGATAGATATCTACACGGGGCATCATAGATTCAATTTGAGATATGGACCATGAAATCAAACGTTTTATTTTTTGAAAGGCTGTTGCAGTTATTCATGGGCGGCGGCAGTCACTTTCCATCAGGTGAGCCGATACTCGTTGGAAAAAAAATATATAAAAAAATTGGAATTATCAGATCACCTGTTTTTAGCAAGCTGATCGAGTGATGAGTCCCACGCGGGCAATAGCAGTGTAATAACCACAGAACATATATAACCCTAAAGGTAATGACTGGCGTGTTTAGGAACAGTTTACCTTTTATCGATTGGCATAAAAACTAATTTGCCGAGGCACCGCAGGCATTGGACTATCGCTTTAAATAAAGTTTCGCATCGCATCGCCGGTTCAGATATACCTAACAATGTACCATAGATTAATATATATGTAGCAAGCTATGTACTCGTAATTTGTACATATAAATGAAACTGAAGTGCCTATCTATGTATAATATTGAAATAACTGGCTTATTATTGAACTAAGGAGGTTATTTTAATGCCATTAGGACATGAATAACCATTTTTAAAATTTTTCTCCGTCTGTCTGTTCTTTAATATAATAATTTTCTGAATGGCTGAAACGATTATAATGAAACTTAACCAATAGATAGAGTGTAATACCAGGAGGGATCGAGGCTATATTTTATCCGAAAAACTTGGAGACTTATATATATTAATAATATATTAAAATAAACGGTTCTTTAATATCTTAAATCGTTTATAGCGGCACATTTATAGATCCTATCCAGGTAAAGCCGAGCGGAACGCTAGTATCAAATATAACTCTATTAAACTGAACTGAAAAGAACAGATTGAGGATGCAGCTGAGGAGTCAAATTCGTCAGTTCACAGCATCATCAACAACATGTTGGTTACAGAAATCCAGCTGAAACCCCATCACTGCCCGTGGCGCATCTGGGCGAGCTGGCAGAAGTTGTTACAGCGTTACGGACACGGTTCAGAGTCACGACGTGCCCGCGACCAGCCCATCTTGCGTCTACAGAGGAATGTCTTCTTCCCGAAGCACCTGGAAGAAGGGATTAAGTAAGGAAACATCATGTACCATCAGTACGTGTATGGGATTGTAGATTAAGGTTAATTAACGGCAGCATACTCGTGGAACACTTTCAACTTTTACATTGATAATAAACCTAGCAAGCTAACAGCATAGCAAAGTGGCGAAGCAATCAGCTTTGTAGCGGTTTCTAACGGTTGCCGTTGAGCAATCAGTTTCAAAATAGGAGGTTCAGATGCCTGGCTGATCAGTAATCGATTGCTGAAAACAGAATTTGAAAATTCAAAACCGTTCTCGAGATCATCGTGGGACAGACGGACAGACGGACAGACATCGTGAAATCACTAAATGACTTCGCAAGCTTCGCCACTTAATAATGTAGACGTTCTATTGACCGATTTGGTTATGCGACAACTTACGTACCTATAAGTATTTTAGATAGTGTATATCTTTAAAAACAACTCAACAGAGTATATTAAGTCGCCACTGATCATGTCTTCGGAGGGATGACGGTATAGCTAGGTATCTCGTCGAAAATATCCAGACCTGCGACCGGGGGCTGCCGGTACGAGACGTCTGTTGCTAGGATCGCTAAACTAAGCTAATAGTTAAAGCAAACATCATTAAAGGGAAAAAGGGGTCGTCGGGCATTCACGACTTTTTCTGCCACCGGGGTGGCACCATTTAGAAATGTTGTGTAATAATTGACAGATTTTATAGCGCAGGAAGATAATTTGTTAGACAAGTGTAGAGGCTAATGTTTCCTTATATATTCCGAAAAGTAGAAACATTAAAAAGAGTTCAAATGTGTAAATCAGTTTACCTTAGTCAGCCAGCCAACTAGCGACATCTCGTGAGCGTAAGATTGTTAGTCCTCCTAGGAATTCCGTTTCGGGATTCCGTTTCGATATTTCGATTCGGAATTCCGAACGCAGCAAGTCCATATAAAATCTATGACCCGTCACACACGTACGGTAGGTTTCCGTTTTGCGGGCAAAACTGGATTCCGTATGTGTGTGGCCGACCCGTTCGGAATTCTGAAACGGAATCCCGAAACGGAATTCCGTATGTATATGGCGGGCCTTAAGGTACCATTCTGTAGCCGACCGCAGAGAGCAGCAGCAGGCGACGAATCGTCGCGACACGACTGGTTTCTATGTAGTTCTATGAAATACCTTCCGTAGCTAGCGACACGTTGTTTGCCGGAGTGGCATACGACATGTCGCCCGACCGCAAATCAGTAGTGCCGCAAACGCCCGAGCGACACGTTGAATTTTTCTCAAAAAATGACTTTCACCGATTCCGTGGAAGAGAAACTGATAAACCAGGTGGCCCAATATCCCGCACTGTACGATGCATCTCACAATAATTATTTAAACAGTGTGACAAAAGAAAATGTAGGAATGGAATGTAAGGGAATGGAGTGAAAACGGAACGTAAGTGGGTGAGAAGGAGGACGTGAGGTGCGAGAGGGACAGGGAGAACGTGGGAGGGGATTTTTTTTTGAAAGGAGGAAGGGAGCGTACGTGACTTAAGTGCATTAATTAATTAAAAAAGGTGTTAAACGGTGAAAATAAAACAAACTATTCATTATTCTCGATTTTTATTGAGAGGTCTTCCAAAATCTCACAATAATATTTGAAAAAATATAGGAAAGGAGTTAATAAAAGCGGTAAATAGGTATATACACATATAGTACCTATTTTGTTTATATAAATAGGGTACCCACAGAACATTCGGAACAGAATGGAACCCGGGCTGCTGCCGCCTGCAGTCGGGTTCGGAATCATGACTGCAGCGACATGACGCGACGACATGTCGCGACGACACGTCGCCTACTGCTGCTGTCTGCGGTCGGCTACGGAATTTTACCTTTACAGTCGACCTTTTACGGGTTAAAATCTATGAAGAAGAAAACGTGTGCACGTGAAAATAGAAGTATTAGTATTCTCTTTTATTTAATTCTCTTAAAAAAACGTTACCTCCACACTAGGATTTTCTCCAGTATCGCGGGGGCAGCTTACATACATAGATTTCACAAGGACAAATATCCAGACCCAGAAAAATTAAATATATATTAGTTAAAATACGTGTTCCGTGCGGGATTCGAACCCGCGGCCCCTTAGCGCTGCAACTCATTGCTAAGCCACTGCGCCACGGTGTCGTCAATAGTAGGGGTTCCTTTTGTGATTATGAGTCCATCTGTATTGATAGCCTTCTGTTTCTGAAGCCTAACAGCAGTGCAATCGTCGCTATGCTCTCTTTTGAGGGGAAGGTAGTGTTATTACAGGCTGTGATGAATTTCATCTTAGTTATCCGGCCCGACAACACATTTGTAGTACAATTAGCTAGCAGTCATGTCGGCGATGCTACATCGTGAAGGGGCTTAGCTTTATTCCGTGTTATAATCAAGAAAGAGATTGCTGAGCGGTAATGAGAGTAGAACAGATCCCACTCGGAGGCAGGAGACCCTTAGCGAATACGCTACCGAGCTGTCAATATGGGATGTAGACTCGATGAAGTGCTTAATTTTCCTATATGCTATTAATACTGACTTCAAAACTATAAAATATTTTGGAACGAAGTTCCTTATCGGATGATACGGGTTTGGCGGATGGGAGCTAGGCGACAAAAAGTGTAAGATTTTTTCGTCACTACCCCTTGTGTCATAGTGTAGACGGCCTTGGCGGTGAAATAAGGAAGTGAGATGGAATCATATCCATCTCCCTCGCACTTTTTCTTATCTTGCCATGAAGGAAATATTATTTTATTTCAAATGACGCTTCATTTTAAAAAACGCTAGTAATTCATTTATTTGTATTTGTTAATTAATAATATAATACCTACGTTTATCAATAATAATATACTACGCAAGGAACTTCGTACCAACCGAGTGTTCCACGACACTCGCGCATATTTTAATTTGTTTTAGTTTTTTTTTAAAGTCGGCTTGTGCATTTTATTAAAATTTTAATTTTTAAGTGTATAACCACGATTCATGACCTTTCAGGGATTCCAGAATTCAAGAGTTACTTTACGAAGAGGCGCGATACAACGTGGTAAATGGGAGGTATCCACTAGAGAGCGCTCAAGCGGTCATGTTGGGGGGTATCCAGGCGAGGGTGCAGCTTGGACCTTACGATCCCCACAGGCACACGGCAAAATTTTTCAGGTGAGTTTATTAGCAAAGACCACATTACAATAAAAAAAACACAGCGATAGCAATGACAGCGTTTTACTTATATTCCGTAGGTTTTTTGTGAATTTTTGCTATTGCCCATGAAATCTGAAAATTTCATGAGCTATGGTGTATGGACAATGACAATGCAAACGTCGTAATAATTTAAAATCCTTTATGTAACAGATTTCTGAAATAACTAGGTCACATCGAATAAGGGTACGGTAATTCAGTGGTAAGCCAAGGTTTATTTTTTATTGGAGAGGAGGCAAACGAGCATGCGGCTCACTTGATGGTAAGTGACTACCGCCGCCCATGAACAACTGCAACACCAGGGAGGGAATTGCAGATGCGTTGCCGGCCTTATACATAAGTATTATACATTTAAGTATTATACATTATAAATTTTAAACTTTATATCATGTCTAAATTCTCAGACCGCGGTAGCGTCGATCAACACTCACTGTATAAATATAATGCAAGTTTAAATTTAATTTTGGAATTTAATTTTACAATTGTTTTCTGGAGAGCCTACTACACACTTTGAATACGGGGATCAGAAGGGAAGTTGCCAATACAAAAATTGGTAAACTTAAATTAAAGTATTGCAAGTAGAATACACAGATAATAATTAACACAGACTACAAATAAATATTAATTTCTGATAATTTATTAAATACTCACATTAGATTTTCGGTTACAAGCCGAAGTCATTTAATTTTTAGTCATCTTAAATTATCGAACTATTGTACTTTGTAATATTTGTAAAGTTTTACAAGGACCTGGCATGTTATAAAACGCAATCGGGTATTAGAAATGTGGTGAGAGTGCTGATGGCTCCATGGCGCAGTGGCCTGGCATTGAGTTACGGCGTTGAGGGCCGCGACTTTGAATCCCGCACGGAACAAGTATTTGTATGGCCTACAAATAATTGTTCCGGATCTGAGTGTTTGTCCTTGTGCAATTTATGTTTGTAAACTGCCTCCACGATACAGGAGAAAATCCTAGTGTGGACGTAACGTTTTTCAAAAGAAAGAAAGTATTTGAGACACAGAGTTTTGTACATATCACAACGCCTGCTGAAAGGCAGAATATGGCCCCTTCCATACTCCGTATATCATTGACTTTGCTTGGGTGACGTAGGGAGAACCAGAACAAGTTCCTGCCGTGGCTTGCACTTCGAAGTTTCCCTTATGCGCTTCGTACACGATTTACTTTGCGTGGGTGGTGTAGGGAGAACCAGGACAAGTTCCTAGCGTGGCACGCGCTTTGATGTTTCTCTTATCTCCATGCTCCGTACATGATTGAATTTGCGTGGGTGATGTAGGTAGAACCAGGACAAGTTCCTATCGGGGCACACGCTTCAAAGTTTCCCTTGTCCCCATGCTCCGTATACGGTTGGTGACGTAGGGAAAACCAGGACAAGTTCCTGCCAGGGCACGCGCGGTCCGGTCGGTGGGCGATGCTGCTGCCCGCCGGGCGCAAGGGCAGCCCCGAGGCGCGGCTGCTGGAGCAGGCGCAGCGGCCCGCCGCCGCGCCGCCGCGCAAGCTGCGCCACAAGTACCTCGCGCACACCAGGATGTTGCCCACCTACGGGTTAGTATTCGACAACCAATTAGATTTATTTTAATGTACTCTGGAACTCCTACCTGAAGACATATGGAAAGCACTGAATAAGATAGCCTTCAAAATATTGGTTCAGGAACATCTTTCAATAACAACGTAGTCTTTTTAATGTCAATTAGTACTGCTGCTTTTATCCAGATATATTATGTATGTATTCCATAATATATTATATATATATGTATGTTATGTAATAAAAATAATTGTTATATATGGATTATTATGTATTTGTTTATATTTATATGTATTTGTGTAATTTACAACCCTTATTTTAATGTGTTATACGAGTATCTATTTACATTAATTATATTTAGTTATTTACGTCACCTGCCACTAATTTCTCACCACGTCATGGGTTGACTAACAGAGAATGCTAATTGGCATTAAGTCCGCCCTTTGTAACCTTTGTGGTTAGCATAAAAATGTTTTAAAATAAATAAACTACGAATTATAGTGGCAGCCTTGTACCGGTGGGCAAAGACGTGTAGGGCGTCCCCCTACTAGATGTAGTGATGACCCGGTAAGACATGCAGGAAATAGATGCAGGTAGTTCAGGACCGTGCTTTGCGGCGTTCCTTGAGGTAACCTATGTTCAGCAGTGAACTTGTGAAGGCCTGTAATAATGATGATGATGATGAATTATATTATAGTGCGAAATCGATTGTTTGACGTTAAGTAATCGACTTTTTTAAATCGATCCGAAATACAGGATCAATCGAAGATCCCGCCGAATTGTCAACCACTAACCCACGGGACGAATGAGATGTTATATTAATGACTAGCTGTGCCCGCGGCGTAGCTCACGTATACAGGTTTTACATAAAGAATTTGTCGTTTAGGTAAGAGAATATTAAACGATTTATTTCATTACTGTATCAATAAGTGGTAACTAAATAAATCATTATCATCAAAGTTCTAAGTCGTTTATGATAGAGCTTCTGTGTAAACGACGTTAGAAGTAGGCTTAGCCGGGGTGTACACAAAAAAGTTACGGGGGCTACTAACGCGGGAAAAAGCAACATAGAGTTGGCCATGTGCAAAACAGTCAGTACTGAGGTACACTCCTACAACGCGTAAAGTTTGACCTTGCGCTTTATTTACGGTCATCGCATAACACACGCTCACTGTAACTGGGAACTGAACGCGTTTAAAACTGAAAGGAAAGTTACTTCTTAATAGAAGGTTTTTGGGCAGTGCTGCCAGATAAAAAAAAAACTCATTCAGCTCTAGGACAACACAAAAAGCGCTAGATTTCATGAAAACAGCGCTTTAAAAAAGCCCTAGATTTCGCGCTAAATTAACTACAAACAAAGTTTGTGTTTTTTTATATAATCATAATAAAGAAAACAACATTAAGTTTTTTTTCTAGCAATATTTTTTTGATGTATCAATACTTCGCAGGACATTGACTTATAATTATGGCAATTGCTGTCAACAGCAGTTAGTACTGTACGAACAATAAAAATGTCATTAATTGTTTTAAAGTGCAATGTATTTCGCAACTTAGTTTCAGATGTCAGCATCTGATTGCGGTTGCAACACAGTTTCTTTGTGTTATAACTTCTAAGTAACTTTTAACTTAGCTGTGCTCTAAGCAACTGACTGAAACTGAATAAAGCAAAATAAATGCGTTGCCAAAACCAAGAACAAAAACTTTAATAAAGGGGATTTCCCCGCTTATAGTCGTCGGTAAAAAAATCAAGTTGATCATCCTAAAGGGGAAGCCAGGAGATCCATAGCACAGGGTATCCTAGTTTGGACTCGTCTCCCATGCTCTTTGTTTTGTGGAAAAAATATGTTTGAAAAAGATAAACCGCAATGTACTATTTGTGGGAAAAAATAATAAAGGTCATTATTATTATTATCGGTAATGTGGACTAACAGTGCTGCTATAAAAGAGTTAATAACCCGCTAGTCGCTAAAATATTGAAATGTGTGCTAAATACACCAAAAAGCGCTGGATTAAGCTAGGTGCTAAAATTTCGAAATGCCAATTCCAAAAAAGCGCTAAATCTAGTTCCCAAAGCGCTAAAATGGCAGTACTGATTTTGCGTATATTATAAATACAATATCACGACATTTCGTTGCAAAATTTTTATTTTTGGTCGGGTTCCGTTGTATGGCTTCGATGGAAACAAATTTCTTCAGTAAGTCTCAATACGATTCATCGGCGAAAAATCTCAACACAGCAATTCAGAAAAGTTTGTAATTTGTACAACTTTTTTTTTTTTTTTTTTATAAGATAAGGGTGACAAACGAGCACACAGTCCACCTGATGGTAAGTGGTTGCTGCGGCCCATAGACATCTACATCTATCCTCGTTTGCGAATCAAAATGCAGATGCGTTGTCACCCGTGAGGACTAAGATGGAATGCCTCATTTCCAGTAAAAAGGGCCTCCGGCCACCTGCACTCACCAAGCGAAACGCAGAGGTAAACCTCTACTTCACGTTGGTATTCTGTGAGGTCGTGGTACCACCCCGGTTCGAGCCGGCCCATCCGTGCGACAGCAAAAGCCGCCGCGTGGCTCTACCACTGTTAAAACTCCATCTATTACGTCCTTTGTGTGAGAAAACATCCTTTTTAAATCTCTTTTTGTGTTTTAAGTATAAATATATTAATTATTATGGAACGTTTTTTTTACACACAAATCTTTTTATTACTATTTCTGAGATTTTATGGCGCCATTGAACAAATTCGAACCTACATTTCAAAATAATAATCATTACTTTCGATAGAATTAACCAATTTTAATAAAACAAAGATTAAATGTAACTCGAAGATACGCTTTATGATTTTCTTAACGATTTCTTTGAAAATAAAAGATGTTTACTTTAGACGTGATGCGTTCATATAATAACAGACAAATAGACAGACAATTCTAAAAATTATAAAATGTTCTTATTTAATTATTTTCAGTTCCCCATAATGATTTTAGCCACCAAAATATATATACAATGTACAGAAAGAGACACAACATGTTATCATCATTTTTATTATATGTATATATTTAAAGAGAGATGGCGCTGCTAACATCAATTCTAAAAATAAAAGAGATTAATTGACGCGATTGATACATTATATAAAACGCAAGAGAACTTATAAATCAGTGCCTGCACAGTAAGCAAAAAATAAAGTTTGACTCTCGCCAAAACCAACGCAATTGTTAATAGCTCTTTTAAAATTTGATTTACCACATAGAGTTCTCGGCGGTAAAGAATAAATTGAGTTTGTCAACACGCAGTAAGGCAGCGAGTAATATAATAAAGATTAGCAGTAAATATGAAAACTCATCTACAGGAAAAAACCACATTGCAATTGCATTACATTTTCACAACACCACCATCTATCGAAGAAATGGGTTAACTATTGTGCTTCAGATTTAGTTAATAAGGTTAATATATTTTTTTGTATAATATATTTAATACGTTCTTTAATACTTTTGTTTACTGCGTTTTAGATATACATAATTATATCATTATTTTACATAATTTAACTATGATTTATGATATGATATTAGTTTAAACTGCACTTGATGACTCAAACAAAGCCACCGTTGAGCAAATTCGTACCTATACTTCCCTTCCCATACTTCAGAATATTTATCATAACTTTTGATGGAATGATTTTAATGAAATAAAGACTAAATGTAACCCGAAGATACACTTTATAATTTCCTTAACAATTCTTATGATATAAATTAGTACTTTATACGTGATACGTTAACAAACAAACAGACAGACAGACAGACAGACAGACAGACAGAAAATTCTAAAAATGGTAGAAATGTATTTAATTACTTATTTTTAGTACCCCTCAATCACTTTTATTACAAAAATATAAAATGTACAGACATCTGCTATTTACAGTTTTATTATATGTATATGTATATAGATAATTTGGCTCAGATGTTCATGCATTTTTAGATACGTGGCGCAGTGGCTTAGCAATGAGTTGCGGCGCTGAGGGCCCCGGATTCGAATCCCGCGCGGAACAAGTATTTGTATGGCTACAAGTAAGGCCCGTATTAATAAACGTTACTCAACGACGAGCTCAAGTGATTACTTGATACGCCCTCATTACGATATCAGCATCTCAAGATCGTTTGTAATTAATAAACACATAAAAACAGTATCTCTAAACGCCGTACTTAGGAATATTGCTCTGTGACTTGCACTCAAGTACACGCACTTGAGAGTCGAGTTTCGTTTATTAATCAGTGTGGCACTCAGCTGATATCGTAAACCTAAACCGCATATTGATATAATTATGTTTATTAATAAGATCGTAACCTCGAGATTGTTAATAAGTGCGTGTTGAGCTGAGTAACGTTTGTTAATACGGGCCTAATTGTTACGGGTCTGAATGGTTGTTCGTGTGCAATTTACGTATGTAATGTCTCCACGATACAGGAAAATGTCCTAGTGGGGAGGTAAGATTTTTGAAAAAAAGAAAGAAAGAAAGATGTGGTTAATGCGGTCACAATATAAAATGAGCTGCCGCCTAGCCACTATGTGATATCAAAGCTATAGCTGACGCGTCTTCTATCCTCCAGTGCGGCCTTCTTCCAAGGACAGATCGAGCAGCCAGTACGAAGTCTCACCAGTCTACTTACCCACGAGGACATCCCAGTGCTGGTCGCTATTAACTCCAACGGGGTTTATGTCATCGATGATACGGAGAGTGTTAGTAAGAATTTACGTTACTTACTCCGCCATATTGGAGTGTTTTTTTTTTATAGGATAAGGTGACAAACGAGCACACAGTTCACCTGATGGTAAGTGGTTGCTGTGGCCCATAGACATCTATATTTATCCTCGTTTGCGAATCAAAATGCAGATGTGTTGTCACCCGTGAGGACTAAGATAGAATGCCTCTTTTCCAGTAAAAAGGGTCTCCGGTTCTCTACACTCACCATTCGAAACACAGCAGCATGAAGCCGCTATTTGACGCTGGTATTCTGTGAGAGCGTGGTCCTTCCCCGGTCGAGCCGACCCATTCGTGCTACAACTATACTACTAATATAGCTGCATCATGGCTCTACCACGTATAAACGTGTTATATTGTGTTGACACGTGTTGTGTTGACGTAAAAGATAGTGATTAAGAGTTTTTCTCATAACTTAAACGTGAAATGATATATATGATATAGATAGTTGCCTGCTCAAATTTTAATTTTTTTTATTTTTTATTTTATAGAATAACTTTACAAACGAGCACACAGTCCTCCTGATGGTAAGTGGATGCTGTGGCCCATAGACATCTACATTTATCCTACAACTAGATCTATCGTCATTTGCAAATTAAAATGCAGATGCGTTGTCAGCCGTGATGACTAAGATGGAATTCCTCTTTTCAAGTAAAAAGGATCTCCGGTTCTCTACACTCACCATACGTAACACAGCTGCTATTTTACGCTGGTATTCTGTGAGAGCGTGGTCCTTCCCTGGTCGAGCCTGCTCATTCGTGCTACATCTATACTATTAGTATAGCTGCAGCATGGCTCTACCACGTATACAATCTTCCATGATCCTCATCTCTCATATTAACTTTATTACAGACAGTACTTTTAGGTCTTCTATATGAAGAGTTATCTTGGGATATCGGCCTGCCATCCGATGATAACGAAGACTGCCTGCCATGTATTTTCCTGCAGTTCATGGTTGTCGAGAATGGTCTACGTGTTTCCAAGATCCTGCAGGTAATTATGAAATGAGTAAGAATTAAATACCAAATATATATTACCGTAGTGCAGTAGTGTAAAAATTCACTCTTAACTGAAACTAGTTTTCACAGATTTTATCGCTTTTTATTAACTTATTTCGTATATCCGAAATTTAGAATATTATACGGCACCCATGGTCATGGTGGGACTGAGGTGTTCAACGTCAAATTCAAATTCAAATTCATTTATTTGCATAATACAGGTATAAAAGGTGTTACAGAAAATTATAATATGTACATTGTATTATTACCTTATGAGGTGTGCAAATACAATAAATGTTTTGTCTTAAAGACATACAAATATAATTGAGTGTTCTTTTGAAAAATCATGCCATAAGATAAAATAGAATAGAAATAATTGAAATTGGCATACTAATGAAAATTCTACATTTATAAAATTAAATTGATTACAATAACAAAAAATGATAATATTCAATAAAAATTACTAGTCAAAATTGTCATTCAAGAACTCGTCAATTTTATAGTAACATTTGTTTATTAATAACGTCCCAATGTCATTTAACCACCGCTACCTTCAGCTTCAAGGTATTAATTTTTGGTCCCATCTACACAGAAAGAACTTATAGGCCCGTATTAATAAACGTTACTTAGCTCAAGTACACGCACTTGAGTACAATCTTGAGGTTATGATCTTATTAATAAACAAATCTCAAGATGCGGTTTAGGTTTACGATATCAGCTTAGTGCCACACTGATTAATAAACGAAACTCGACTCTCAAGTGTGTGTACTTGAGTGAAAGTCACAGAACAGTATTCCTAAGTACAGCGTTTTGAGATACTGTTTTTATGTGTTTATTAATTAACAACGATCTTGAGATGCTGATTTCGTAATGAGGGCGTATCAAATGATTACGCACTTGAGTTCGTCGTTGAGTAACGTTTATTAATACGGGCCATAGTATCTTAACGCCTTACTAGTGGTATGCTTGGGTTGGAATTTACTTTTATTTGTAGTGTCATACATCTTCTCTATTAAAATAAGAATGTTTCTTGATTTCGACAGCCTCGCGAATCATCGTTGTCTTTGCGTATACATGAGAAATCATTAAAGTTCACTCTTACTGTTAATGTTACTAGGTGTTCTCGAAGCAGGCGGTCATGATGGATACGTTGATCGAGCATTTCGCCGGCGAGTACCGCAAGCGCTTGGGGCAGGAGACTCCAAGTGATCACGCCAATTACGATTACCATTCAGGTACATATAGTATATGTCTTTTTTATAGGATAGGGTGACAATCGAGCGCACAGTCCACCTGATGGTAAGTGGTTGCTGTGACCCATTTACCATACATGTGGTTGTTGTGTGTAAATGTGATGTCTATACATCTACATTTATCCTCAATACAGAATCAAAATGCAGATGCGTCGTCACCCGTGAGGACCAAGATGGAATGCCTATTTGCCAGTAAAAAGGGTCTCCGGTTCTCTACACTCACCACACGAAACACAGCAGCATTAAGCTGCTATTTTACGCTGGTATTCTGTAAGAGCGTGGTCCTACCCCGGTCGAGTCGACCCATTCGTGCTGCAACTATACTACTAATATATGTCACTTTGACTGCCTCATTGGTCTAATCGTAAAGGCGATAGCTGATCGTTAATATTGACGGGTTTGAATCCGGGCCAAAATATCAGTTGATGGGTTTTTTTTTTGTGAAGAAATCCTCAGTAGGAGCCCGATGTCAGGAAGTTTGCGGTGTTTCACCGCGTGCCTCGGAAAGCACGTAAAGCCCTGCGCATGATTTCTCTCCGCTCGTGTTGGATTGTCGTCCCACCGGAATATGAGAGTGAGTATGTGAGTGATCGTGAGCGAATTTCGGTGTGGACAATTACGATTAATAATACATATGTGGTTACTTTTACACGACACATTGAGTAGCACTGGGACATGGGCGACGCCAGGATTAATTTCAGGGAGGTGCATCTGCATCTGCACATTATACTATTAACTAATATAAAATATAGAATTATAAATGTATTTATATGATATAATTCAAATCGTGCGGGTATTTGATTGAATATATTTCGCTCATCGAAAACATACTTAACCTCTATCGTCGATGCTTGCTCGGAGAATCCCTGCTGCCGCGCGACATGTTCAGTGTTCACAGGGAAAGTGTAGAAGAGGATACTGAATTTATTGAAAAGGTGATGAACAATTGATTAAACCTACTCTTACGGATTCTATCGCGTTTAATTAACTTGTTTTTTTAATGATTCCCGACGTTTCGAGTACTTTACACTTTACAGCACCCATGGTCACGGGGGACTGAGGTGATTGACGTCCCAATATCAGAGTAAACTCTGACATTTCTATGTATTTTCTTTCCTGACAAGTGCACCCTGTTGCACCCTGCTGTTGGCGCCCATGAACTGGCTTGTACTATACTGGTAAATGTGACTTTCAATAAGTATTATTTATAATCTACTCGCCTATTAAATAAAAAGTTTCTGTTTCTGTTGTGCCACCTAATGCTAATCTATCTACCGTGCTACTCCGTCTGACAAGCTAGGAGAACGTATATGATCATAGCCGTGTAGTGACGGCGTGAGAGTATCCACTACCCCATATTATGGCGTGAGTTTCGTAAGAGGCGACAGAATGGAATGAAACGGCAGATTGTTAGCAATATGAGTTAATAGAAAGATGTTGCTGTCCAAGATCTTCCTAATAACAACTACTAATAAAAAAAAACTGCGGTTGCCAACGCCAAGCTTAGTATCTATAGCAGATATTCCCGTATAAGGCAATCTATGGGGAGGGAATATGTCCAGCAGTGAAATGTTGATAGGCTATAATGAATTAATGAATAACTTAAAATATCGTCATCTTAATTAAACAATTTTACCCCACAAAACACAATCTTTACTTATATTTTTATAGTATGAAAAAAGCAATAAATCCGAAAACAGAGTAGATTATATCATAGAGCAATACAAACCACCGGCAGATCGGAGGATAGTAGTACTAAAATAAATAATCACTTAGAGATTATCTACTTAACGAAAGAGAAAATAATGAGAATGTTTTGTATATATATATATATATATATATATATATATATATATATATATATATATATATATATATACATATATATATATTTAATTAAGTAAGACGTTCTAACATAAATTCAAAGGAAAATATGTTTTTACAGATTCAGGCAGCATCTCTCTACCGCCTTTGTCCCGACCCGATTCTCCCCAGCGACGACTAGCAAACAAATTATCCCGTTTGGCACTCGCCACGCATGATGGAAGAGGAAATCTTCTAGGCGGTGCTGGAGACTGGAACACGGACTTAGATCGACCACAACCCTCCTGGATACTACCTAAGCACTAATTTCAAAGAAAACAACTTGAATGAAATACTTTTATTTGGCGTTAATTATAATATTATCATCACTTAACTTGTAATGTGGTAGATCCACGTTGTGGTGTATTAAGGCTGCAGAACTAATGGGCCGGCTGGAGAAAGACTATTTTTTCAGAATACTAGCGTAAAATAGCAACATATCTCTGCTATCTTTCGTATGGTGTGACAAGAACTTGAGGCTATTTTTTCCTGTATATTTATTTATTTTGCTACATAAGTACAACTTCTGAGTACAAATGACGTGCTATATATAGCGTCCTCTCACTATCAGGTGGCCTGTGTACTCGTTTTTTAGACTTATTTGTATAAAAAAGAACAGTGTTTCTGACTTAGAAATTCGAAAGCTGGAAGAAGTTATTAAGTATTAAAAATAACAATGATAGTGATTGTAAATCTGTAAAACTTACTCAGATGAAGCAAAAAAGTAAAGAAAAATAAAATAAAATGTATTGATAAAATTTTTCTTTTATTATTCAGCTCGACATATTAATATAGGTAATCATTTATACACAGCATACCCCTCAATACAAGGGGAACTACGATCGTCTTATAAAAAACTGCGGTTGCTAAACCGCCTTCCAAGTGTGACAACTATGGCAAACATATCCCGTATGAAGCCTATGGGGAGAGCTGTGGGAAGCCTATTTTCAAAAATGGGCTTTCGATAGACCGTAACTTTCAGATATTGTGTAATTTAAAATAAAAATAAAACATTTTTTTAATAAATCATATAATAATTTTTTTTGCATACAATTATATAACAAAAGTAAAATTATCATAAATTACATAAAATTTATAAAATTAGATAAATTTAACATTAATAATTTAGACGTTTTATTTTTAAATCTTATGCAAAATTTTCAAGACAGACAAAAAAAATACCTTTTTGGTTATAGTTTATTGACATGTTATACAATGCCTCTCTCTTACTCCACATTACTTTGCATACAGGATACAGAAATCTTTGATTATAGACATGTATATTATGTATATGTATATATGTATACAGGTACAATCTTTCAAGTACTGTGTAGCGAGTCAAGAGGGCAAGTCTTAATAAATATTTATTATATTACGAGTAAGTGGATTTCAAATACGACAAAACGACTGTTAGGTGGCAAGTTAAATCATTCATATAACACTGTGTGGTTAAATCCTCGTTCTAATTAGAAAATGCCTGGCTAAAAGGAATAACTAAGACAGTAACACATATGAAAATTTACTTTCAGCCGTGGATTACGATAAAGCCAAGAGCAGTTAGTTTATTGTTTAAGTACATAATATGTGAAACTTCTCCCAGGAATAATTACTGTTTGTGTCCATTTATTTTTTCTCATTCTCATTCCCAAACCACAGACATATTTATACAAATTATGTGCACACAGATATAATTTTATATTGTCTGTGATACCTACGCAATCTGTAATCGAGAATTGTTGTATCGTTAGAAACTTACTTTATCTGAGTTAAAAACCATTGAGTTATATGTACTACGTACTAGAGAAGCCATTCCAAACAAAAATTGTGTCCTACTCTATGTCTTCGCGCATGCGCAGGAGTAGTAGTCGCGCATGCTCGACGACTTTAATTTAATATAAAATAAGATATTAACATAAAATAAATATAAGAATTTAATATAAAATATCTTAATTTCATCTAAACAAACATATTTCTAAATAAAATGTTATAATAATTATTTTATGGAATTCACAAATCTTCAATTGACGCAATATTTAGTTTGTATGGATTGCACTACAGTTCAGTTGAACATAGTCAATGTTCGGAATGGCTTCTCTAGTACGTAGTACATATAACTCAATGATAAAAACCAAATTGCAAATTCATTCGAATGTCAAAGTATTTAAATAAATAGATGTTTTAGTTTATAGTGGTTAGGAAGAATGCAATTTGTTCTTTGATCGACGAAAAATAAAAAATAAAAATGCGTTTTCATTTTCTTTTAAGGTATTAATGTCATAAAGCATTATATTATATCATGGGAAATAAATGGTCATGGATAAATAAGAATTTCTCCAGCGCTAAGAATAGGCTAGCTATTCAAGAGAACTCAATGAATAAAATAAGAACGTAATTTCTAGGTTGTATGCAATATGTTTGATATAAAACAATTTATTGTTATCATTTATAACAACTACATTTAATATATTTTTTATTTGTCATCGTTCGAATAATACTTCCTCGTCCGGTTATATTCTTTGAGCAGCGGATGTTTATCTAGATACTCTTCCAGAGCTCTGAACCTTGGTCCAGAAAGATCCCTGTGCCTGGTGAGCCTGACTTCTAGAGAGTGGACTCGGAACGCCAATTCAGCACTGAATAAAAAAAGTTAATTAGCTGAACACTGAACGACATGTTCTTGTTTAAGTACATCTAATATTAATGTAAGTAAAGTTACAGTGTATACACGTCCTACTACTGGACACAAGCCTCCTTTCATGTCTGAAAGGGTTATCCACGGTTTTTTCTACCACCAGTGTGGCGCCACTTAGAAATGATGTGAAATACGTATTTGACGGATTTCATATCAGTGGAAGTTAATGTGTTAGCAAAATGTAAGGGTTAATGTTCCTTTCTGTAAAGTTAGTTAAATTTTATATTAATTTGATTTTAAATGAATAAACTAAATTACAAATAAGTATACCTAAAAGTGCAAAATTTAAAAGAAGAGTTCAAAATATTTCCGACTACCATCAGAGATTTTTCCGGACCGATACGACTTAGGGACCTTCAATAAAATCCTCTTTAAAAGGCCGGCAACGCCTCTGCAATTCCCCTGGTGTTGCAGTTGTTCATGGGCGGCGGTAATCACTTACCATCAGGTAAGCCGTATGCTCATTTGACCCCTCCTATAAAAAATGCTCAAAATTAACGAGCAAACTACCGAGGCATAGTTTTATGTATTTACATAATACGCTAGAAACTGATAAATTTATAATTTAAAACACAAATTCTCAATTATAATGACATTTAAAAAAATTCTAGCGACATCTGGTGAGCGGAAGACTATTATCCCTCATTAGTCCGCTACGCTGCTCCATTGCTTGTTTGTTTGTTTCGCTCGTGTTGCAAACACATGTCACAATTACCCAGACGGTTTTGTTTATTGCAAATTCTAGTGTTGACTTACCACGTGTGAGAAATTGAAGGAAAATATCGTAAAAAATCTACGTGTCTTAAGAAATTAGCAGACATAATATGAAGTCCGCAAACACGTATTGTGATAGCGCGGAGCGCGTAGACTCCTTGGCCTAAACCATCTCAGAGATGAGAGGGCCCTGCCCATCAGTTAGACTCCTGAACTGACTGACTTTTAACTTTTTAAAGAAGGTGCTTTTAAGAGGATTGTGATACAAAAAGCGATAACACTTTTGCCCCCGTAAACATAGTCGAATATTAATTGTTTTTGGAAATGCTGTAGATATAATGAAAAATTAGGTCCGTACGTTTTTATTTTAAAGAAAATATTGCATACGATATAAGTTATTACCATCTAAATATGAATATTTTGAGCTTAAAAACTTCCTCGAGCGTTTTTTTTTTAAATTAAACAAAACTGAATTACTAAAAAAGAAAAAGGTATAGACTTAGATTAAGGTGTATTGAATCTATTTAGACTAAAATTGTCTCATTTTGTAAAGGTTTAGGGGGATGAAAACGTTATCACCCGAAACAATATTTCAAAAAGGAAATGTAAGCAATTGCTTAAAGACTTGCAACTCTCTCTATCGCTCGATACTGTGCGGCGGTACGGAGAGAGCGGTATTAAACAGATAGCATTTTTATAATACCCACTCGCGCCGCCCTATCGGCAGTTCACAATCCTTTTAAGTTTTATAAATATCCTTCAACTGGAATTCGATAGAAAACCCTAAACTACTGCTGTATCTGCATAATCAATATACTGGGATTGCTTTACGTTACAAAAAAAATTTTTTACCTTGTAGCGAAATAGACTGTTTCTTTTTCAGGGGTCAGGATAAATTGATTTGCCAAGTACCACAGACGTTTAGCCTTGTATTCAGCGTTGAGCTAAAAATAGAATTAGAAAATGTTATTTTTTTATAGGATAAGGGTGACAAACGAGCACACAGTCCACCTGACGGTAAGTGGTTGCTGCGGCCCATAGACATCTACATCTATCCTCGTTTGCGAATCAAAATGCAGATGCGTTGCCACCCCTGAGGACTAAGATGGAATGCCTCATTTTCAGTAAAAAGGGCCTCCGGCCACCTGCACTCACCAAGCGAAACGCAGAGGTAAACCTCTACTTCACGCTGGTATTTTGTGAGGTCGTGGTACCATCCCGGTTCGAGCCGGCCCATCCGTGCGACAGCAAAAGCTGCCGCGTGTTTCTACCACTGTTAATGGTACTATTATTTACTTTTAAGAACCAAGTTGGAATGATTGGATAAAATTATTTACGGGATCTGTTTGAATGTATTTGTTTGTATGAATCTACTGCGGGTTTTTTTTCATTAAACTTAAGTGACAAACAAACTTACAGTCTATTTGTTTGTCACTTCAGTTACAATATATTTATGCGAATACTACATTAAATAAAATTATTCTTTTGAAATAAAATTTAAGTTATTATAATTTCTAACGTTTTGAGTTCTTTAAAAGCATACATGTGATGGCACCTCCTTAAAGGTCCTGATGTGAAACATTCAAATATATGTAATATTTTTTTCGTTATTACTTGAGACGTCTATCCCTACAGATGCGACAGTGTTCTCTTTTTCATTATAAAGTAAAATTTACACTAATAATATTAATATATATGTAGCTAAACCCTAACAGTAACATACAATATATAATATGTCCTTTGCTAATTCATTAAAGTGGCAACTAAATATGTTAATTTTAACATGCACACGGTTGACCATGTGAAGAGCTCGAGTTGAGCTCGAGATTAGTTCGTGCTGAAAGCACGGCGAGCAGTGGCG